CATTGGGATACTCCCGCTGTTGCCACTACAACTACTCCTGCTACTGTTAATGTGGTGTTGAAAAACAGGAGCGTCCGACTAGACGCGGATCTGGTAGAGGCGGGGGACGGCAATGGGGCGGCTGCAGCAGGCGGTGGTGCTTCCGGGGAGGGGGGGGGGGGGGCAGCAGCAGCGGCGACTACCCTCGGGCCTGATGGGAAAAAGAAACAGGTGCCCGCCCGGCGGCGGTAGGGAAGATGGCTGGCTGTACAGTAAATGTCATACGGAACGGCGCCCGAATGGTAGTGGTAATGGATGGGTGGCTGTACGGTAAGTGTCATACGGAACGGCGCCCGAATGGTAGTGGTAATGGATGGATGGCTGTACGGTAAATTGCCTGGAATGACGGCGGTGGTACGGATGTGTACGGTATGGCGGCACGGTTTCGAAATGTTTTCGTTAGAGAGAGAGAGAGATGTTGATTTTTTTTCGGTTTCGTGGGGCATGAGGCGCAGGGTGCACAAGAAACGTGGAGCTGTGAGTTTCGCTGTTTGTAGATGGTACGGTGTGGTGGTGTGGGGACGATAGCCTGCTGCGTGGGGGACATGCAAGAGGCCGTGCCAGTGCCCATGCCTGGTGACACCACGACACCACCCTTCTGCTAACCAAAAGCCGCACCCATTTTGGTCTTTGCTCGTATTGTTTTTTTTTTCAATGGACGAATGCTTGGTTGATCGGTCGATGCGCAGGTGCCTGTTCCAATGAACTCGGACGACCCGCTGTTCTGCAAGGTGCGAGACGTCCATGTCGAGCAGCTCATGCCCTTCCTGCAGGACAAGGTGAGGTTTGTGGTACAAGTAGTTGTTGCGGTTTTTGTTGTGATTGTTTGTTGCTGCTGCTGTTGTTGTTGTAGCTGTTGCAGTTGCTGCTGGTGCTGGTGCTGGTGCTGTTGTTGTTGTTGGTTCAGCTGCAGGTAGAGCGGTATCCTGTTTGTGACAACAGAGATCATTGGCTTTTGTCTGAAAAAGAATTAGCTTTGCGTCACTACTGCCGGCGGGCTCTAGGTAAGGCTCCAGAGGACGAGATGTGTGATGATGATGGCGTATTATTCTGCGGGTTTTCTAGCATCCAGTTGTAGACTTCATGTTTTTTTTTTATAGATAGCTCAGAAGAGAGAGGGGGGGGAGAGACAGAAAGAATGGGAGACAGAAAGAGACATAGGTAGGGCGAGAGAGAGGGGGAGAGAGAGAGAGAGAGAGAGAGAGAGAGAGAGGCAGAGAGATACATATATGCAGACAGAGAGAACAACCCAAGGCAATGCACTGACCTCTGGCTGCCGTGCTACTCTTCGCTCATGGATGATTCGCGTGCGTGTTGCGTGTGGTGTGCCAGGCGAAAAACATCAGGGAGAGCTACAACCAATTCCGCGCTAACCGGGACCAGAGCATCACCGAGATTCACGAGTTCGTCAAGAAGGTAAAATCAACGCCAGCCCACGTGTGCGCGCGTTCCTCTTGTTTGGTCCTTAGCTCAGTTCAACGCGTCTTCGACTAACCCCTCTTCCGTTTGTTTGTATTTTCGAATTTCATCTATAACCCTGTCCCTTTCGTGGAAGGCTGTTCGTTGTGTGTGTGTCTCATTTCATTCGTGCTGGGAGTTGATATTTTTTTTTGTTTTGTTTTGGTGGTATTTACGGCCATACCACGTCGGCGGATTACCCGCCCAAATTGTCGAAACACGTTGTGCTGGTGCGTTGGTATGAGCAAGACCTTGGTGCCACAGGACAAGACGGCTCTTCGTGCCAATCAACGCTTACCTCTCTCTCATTCGCGCGAGAGCTAAGTACTGCCATTGTCCGTCAGGGCATTTCTGGTTCCACGCAGAATCCCCCCCCAAATTTCACACCCAAAACATCCGCAACGATAGTAATTGTTTTTGCTATCCTCGAACCAGATCCCTGGTCTGAAAGAAGACTACAAGTCCCTCAACCTGCACATCAACATCGCCGAGCTCATCATGGAGGGCTCGGGAGCCCCGGACTTCCGGAAGCGGTGGCAGACGGAGAGGGCCGTTCTCGAAGGCGAGGATTGCTCCGAGGTAACAAGCGAACCTCCTACGGCTAGCCCCCGCACATAAGAACCTCTTTTGTTCGTTCGGCCGTAGTTTTGGTTCTAAATTCCTAGGGTTGTGCTACCATTGACCATTATCTAGGTTTTGGTGTAAGGGGTTCTTGGCCGAGGTAAGCATGTAGGTTAAACGGAGGTCTATTTTTACGGTCTGCTTGGTGACTTCTTTAGGTCTGACCGGATGCTGAACCTAGGCTCCGCGCACTGGATGTGTCACACGCCGTGGGCCGACCCAACCCAACCCAACCCAGCCCTAGCCCTCACCCTCACCCACGGCCAACGCACGGCCTACCTGCCGCGAACTGGATAACAGAGAGAGGGCGCTAGAGAGGAATTGGCCGCCCGAACCAACGCTAGACCAATCAGAGGGCGTAAAAGCCCGTAGATGGCAAGAGTTTCTAAAAAGACCGTAAAAACTACCACTGGCTAAACATATCGCAAGTGACATTACGTATCGGTACCGGTGCAGTTCGTCGTGCTACACACGGTTGTTGAGTTTGTGTCGATCAATTGTACTGTGAATCTACTCAACGGTAAATGAGTAGTGTTTGGTTCTAGCTGTTCTTTTTTTTATCTCTTTTTAGTTATTCGCCCAAACTTGTAGTTGTATTGAAAGATGAAAACACAACTAACGATGTTGTATACAGTACTACGTTGCCGTCGCTTTTTTTTGTGTGTTAAGTGTCGTGTTTTCTTTCTCGGGTCTCATCGACCCCCGCTTTTCGATTCTCAGTTTCTCGATTATTCTCGGTTTTTGCATTTTTTGGGAGTATTTTTTTCAGTTGTCCGTTTCGGGATTATATTCCGAATCATGCGTTTCTGCGACGAAAAAAAGGTGATCGAAGAAATGATCAGCATGCAGGAGCCGGCGATGCGTGTGATACGACTCATGTGCCTCCAGAGCATGACCGATGCCGGCATCAAGGCCAGCAAGTACGACTTCCTCAAGAGGGAGGTGGTGCAGGTGGGGGGCCTTCATCTTCCACTCGATCGCCGCGCGCACCCCGTACAATAGCGAAAGTGTGTAGACAACAAACCTCGCGAATTTCATCTCACGACTTCCGAGCACATTGGCCCTGGCACCCTTGCCCTGCTTCGTTGCATTGGGCGGCTACACTATCCGGGTATCATTTAACACCTCAGCATCGTGAGAGCGGTGACGACATGTTCCGTTTCCAGTTGCTTGCAAACCCAAGTTTCTGCATCTATGTGTTTTGACTTTTTACCGCCAGCTTGCTTCCCGGGTCTAGGAAAGTTGTTTCTTCTTTTTTTTTTTGCGCCAGATGCGGCTGCTTGTGCTCGTGAGGGTCGGTGCGAGGCAACCCGGTGCGCATACGTGTGCACCTGGTATGCCTT